AGTAGATATTGGTGGAGCCAAACGCCTTCAATCATTATCACATCTTGTTTCAGTTCTCCTTCTGTGCCCTTGGGTGATTATTTTGTCTCTGACAACAGAGGTAATTAGCATCACTTGATTAATAAAGAGAAAGCAGCATTCTGATGTCAAAATGTTATATCTAAGTCAGGGGTCTCAAACTGCCGCCCGCAGGCTGATTACATCATGCAGAGGCTGTGCCCACCCCAGCTCCCACAAGGCAAAACAAGTCGTGATACGTCACGACACGTCATGTGACGTGGCAAGTTTGACACCCGTGATCTAAGTCATCTTTGTTAATGCAGTCAGTACCTTCAAGCTGTGACTGTTGGGTAGGCAGTTTTGTCTGCTCCATGCCTTTCCCAAAAGACTGGGGATGCCAGGATTGAAACTTCTGCAGTTCTATCTTGAAACATATTCTCTAGAACAGTGTTTCTCAACCTTGACAATTTTAAGGCATGTGGAATTCTGGGAGTTGAAGTCCACATGCCTTAAAATTGTCAAGGTTGAGAAACACTGCTCTAGAAGAAGTGGCTTTTTGCACTTCTCTCATTTCCCAAAGAAAAAGGGAACAAAATGGATAAAATAAAAACACCCTCCTGGTATGACTATCCCACCTTTATCATTTCCTTCAGCATAAAGGTAGGAAGGGGACAATCAAATAGAACCAGATTGACACATCCTGTTCAGGGTAAGGGAAAGAAGTTTTGAAGGAGCAGATTCTGCAGTGTGTTACAGCTTGACACAGAAAATACTATAGTAATCATTAGATGAAATTATAAAGACATGGGTGAATACTAAGTATGCTTTGTCTGTTAGAAATACAACTATAGCCCACTTTTTTTCTGAAACTGATATCAAAATTCCAGCAGATTTTTACCACTCTAAATTTCACTTTCATTTTTTAATAACTCTTCAATTTAATCCAATTTCTTGCTATCTATAAGAACATTGCCTTTATAATTTTACGAATTTTGCTACCTTTTCCTTAAATATTTTTATAAATCTAATGGGCTATAATTGGAAAATGTTGGGGTACCTTTGAGTCTTTCTTGACTTCTGGGAATTGCCTGGACAAGTCCTTGCAGTTTTCTTGTTAAGGTTTTTTGGAAGTGGTTTGCTGTTGCATCATTCCTAGAGCTGAGAAGGGCTTAAGGTCAGCAAGCTGATTTTGTGTCTAAAGCAGGACTAGAACACATGACCTAGCCTGGTACCTTAACCAAACTGGCTTTCTGATTGGAAAGTTGATCAGTTAAGATTCTGGATTTACTGTGCAGCATAGTACTGTAGAGATTGCTAGAGTAAATTCTTGGAGATTTGTCATGAATGTTGTACTCAGGGATTTTAATCTGATCTCACAAAATATTTCCTTACAATGTATATTTATTTCTCTTAATATACTGTAGGTTCCTGAACTGTTAAGAGATTCTGAGTACACAATGTTGTTTTCAAATTATAAAATGCTAATTTTTGTTGTTTCAAAAGTAAAGAAAAATACATTTGTTCAATAATATATGACAACATTTAAATATTACTGCCTGTATTTACATATTTGCATATTTTGATTGCAGAGCAAAGTAGAATCATGGCCTTCCCTCATCATGCCATTTTTAAGTATAATCTTTTTCATCATCATTTTGGACTTCTATGTAGAATCTGTGTGTTTTGTCAAGATGGAAGTATCAAAATGTGCCCGTTACGGATCCTTTCCCATTTTCATTAGTGCTTTAATTTTTGGTAATTTTTGGACACATCCAATAACAAACCAGCTTCGTGCTATGAACAAACCAGCACACCAGGAAACTACAGAGCATGTCATATCTGGAGGAGTGGTGGTCAGTGCCGTTTTCTTTATATTATGTAAGTATGACTTTTGGGGGGGAAAAATGAAATGTTGTTCAAGACATTTGCATGCATTGATAAAAGACCTTGATATCACAAAATATATAAATGCAGTCATTTGCGTTATTTTTCCCAAATACTTTGATGAAATTTCTAGCTGTAAATCATCACTATTGCTTCTGTAGAGATTTGGTTCACAGAGAACTGCATTGTTAATTTTAAAGTAATAAGTTACACTAAGTGTCCTGAACTTAAACTTGTATACACATGCGCAAAGCCATTCCCTGTTGGTTATTCTGTTGCAGTATGAAGACAAGGTTATTAAGTTTACAGTTTCTAGATCTTCTTTGAAAGAAATTTCTTGCTTCATTTTTTTATAACATAACCTATCAAATTGCATGAATTATCTCATTCGAAAATCTTGCTTGGTTAACATGTCCATAGGCTAAATTGCAGAAATAGATTAGTTTTTTGAATTTGAAGTTTCTTACTAGATGAGTGATTAGTTATTGTTTAATTAAAAAAAAATAGTGCTCAGGTTCATCTCCCAGCCTTGCTAATTATTATGTTTTTCTCAGCTGCTGTGTATTTTAATTTTTGTATATGTTTTTGTTTCACCTTTTTAATATTGTTCACCACCCTGATTCATTTGTTGAGATGGTGGCCATATACATTAATTAATTCAATATCATCATGAGGCTTAACTTGAAGCACAAAGAAACAATATCATTCTATGCATTGTGATTAAGTGATATAAAACTGAACTAATATTGAATAGTCTTGAGTCTCTGAAAAAAAAACTTTTAAAAATGTATTTTTATTTTGTGTGAGATACAAGGTTTTTTTTTTCTTTTCAGCTGCCAATATTCTTTCATCCCCAACACGGAAAGGGCAGAAAGGCACTCTTATTGGTTATTCACCAGAAGGAATACCGCTGTACAATTTTATGGGCGATGCTTTACAACACAGCTCTCAGTCCTTGCCTCGATTTATTAAAGAATCATTGAAGCAAATTCTTGAGGAGTCTGACTCAAGGCAGATCTTTTATTTTCTATGCCTGAATCTGGTAAGCTTATCTTTAAAATAGTTAACCCTGTGTAAGTATGAGAGAGAGAATAAAACAGAAGCCTCTATTTAATGTAAATCTCTCTGGAAGGGCCTGCGCTGGTCATATAGTCCAGCCATACAACTTTAAATAAAACACTGCATCTTAATGGAAGCTTCTCAAGGAAACCCGTTTCTCCATAGATAACTTGATAAAACACTTTTGTGTTATTGGCAATGCATTTTTTAGAAGTTTCCTAGCAGTCAGAGACTAATTTAATTTCTCTGCATTTTCGTATGAATGTTAACTTCACAAAAATGTATATATCCTTAAAGACCTCAGTTGTCCATTTAGTCAGCAGTAAAACTAATGACAGTGTTTTACAGAACCATGTAAATGACTTGTGAACTCATTTGAAGGGCAACTGCTTTTGAAACTGATGACAGAAAAGCATTCAGTGATATGGCATTTGAGATTGTTCATAGGTTATAAAGTGGGTGTGGGCAGGAAACACTAAAGAGTGTTTGATTCCTTTCCACTATTTTTATATATTCCTAGATAATATCGATCAGCTTCATCCAAGCTTTGTCCCCAAAGTCCAAAATATCTTGTCTTACCCAAAAATTGCAACTGCCAAAACTGTATAAAAAGGAATTCCATCCCATTGTGTAGACTTGATTGACTTGGAGTTAGCATTTACTTTGTTTCCTCTTGAAAATAGGTTGGTATTTTGTTCTCTTAGCTGTTCTCTTGGCCACATTACCCAACCATC